TAGAAAATGAACCCTGAAGAGGGAAGACAGTTGGTAAGTTTCTTCTTTTCATCTGTCTCTTCTGTCTGGGTGAGAATTGACGCAACTGCTGCAATCACGCTGGTCGGTTTGGCATCACTTTTGTAAAATGATGCCTCAGGCCTTAACGCCTACATTTGTTTGTCTGTCAGTCAGTTCCCTTGATGACACGGTATTTACCAGTATGGCATTTTCGGAGGACGTTGTACCAGACGGTTTCGGGACTTTGTTCTCCAGTGCACCGCGAGAGCGCACTGGCTTTGGTGATCTTAGCATAGTCAGCACGCTCGCGCCGACACCGGCAAGGTTAACCTGTTCATTGCGCTTTTTGATGGACTGTGAACCTGAGAATCATGGCTGGAGCAGCTCGCGGCTCACGCGATTCTCACCACTTGCGAGGATTTCGGCCTCGTTAATATATGGCCGCGTCCCGTCAAGGGAGTTGCAACCTGGGAGTTAGCGTCTTTCCTCCCCATCGATACTGTAGGCTCCTTCATTTGCATACGGAGTAATCTTCTGCTTTGCATCCAACTGCACCAGATCCAGTAAACGATTCCAACCGTTTCCTACCGTGGCGGCGAGTCTTTCAGACTTTAACATATTGAAGTATTTGTTCCCCGGTACGAAGTTAAAACAAGCATAAACAGCAGAGTTTATTGAATTCAATAAATTTTTCGACGGCTTTTCGACTGCATCTCGTCGTTGCATGAGGTAGGTAGCGAATAGAAGCAGTTTGAAGTTACACAGAATTTCAATGCATAACAGCGATGGACATAATGATGCAGTGAAGGAAACTACCTTGAATCAACATACAGGCAGGAAAGGGGGAAGGGAGTTAATGTAAATCACAGTGGCAATTAAAACTAATTGTAATTGAAGATTCACCACATGGGCAAGGTGGTTGTATAGATCGGGATTCAATCGCTATATGTAGGCCACTTCCAACTAGCGCAGATTTCGATTTGTTCGTGCTCGAACAAGTACTCTTAAAGTTTTTTTGAGGTCGACAGACTGACCACTGTATAGCAGATGCTTAGTTATTAAGGAACGTGGTACTGTGGGGGTGTAAGCAGCGGTTGTGCCTAGATCACTACAATCATCAGGTCGAACCCCAGGTTGGAGGTAAAGTCAAGAGTCACCAAAATTAGAAGGTTTATTGTATACAGAACTCCCAGTTGCAGTCTCAGGTGGCAGCAGCCACT